TAGAGGAGGTAATAAATATTACAGAATATTATAATCAGTCATTTTAACAGGTGCTGATGCATTTGGGAGCTGTCATAAACTGAACCTTCTTATTGACCTGATTTCTCAAATTTTGTTAATGGTGTCAATATCCTACTACCTAGTCTCAAGAGTCCTTACTCCCCATATTTAATAATTACCTCTAACCCTTACTCTCAGGTTTAATCAGGTGTCCAAATACTGTCAATTTGACATCTGAAATGCATTTCCTCTCATTTTTCTGTTCCACTGTTTCAGCCCTTTACTCTGCCTCCCAATTTGCATCTCTACAGTCAATCTATGTTTCCTTCAATTTACTTTTCACATCATTCCCAGAAATAATTTTAAATACCAGTCTTGGCTTTGTTTCCAACTGAACAATATTCAGTATTTAAACCCGGCATTTACGGTGCTCTTTGATCTGCTCTGGACTGCTAATTTGAAAATAAATCATTAAATATCACCGCTCCAGCCAACCTTGAGTTGACCTTTTACCTGATGCTTGGAGGCTAAAGAGGCATCTGGGAAGGAATGAGGAAACTTACAGAGTGAACATCTGAGTGAAGTCCTGCGGTTTTGGGATCTCACGTTGTACTCAAGGACTTGAAAGTGGAGCAGAGGGAAGTGGGAACCAACAGATCTGGCTAGAGCAGTGGTTCTCAACCTTCTGGCCCCTTAAATACAGTTCCTCATGTTGTGACCCAACCATTAAATTATTTTCGTTGCTACTTCATAACTGTAATGTTGCTACTGTTATGAATCGTAACGTAAATATCTGATATGCAGGATGGTCTTAGGCGACCCCTGTGAAAGGGTCGTTCGACCGCCAAAGGGGTCGCGACCCACAGGTTGAGAACCGCTGGGCTAGAGCAATGGGGACCCTGTTAAGAAGGTTCCTTTGGAAAACATTCCCAATTGAAGGCCAGGGTTCATTCAGGATAGTGTCCAAGGCCTTATGAGTGGTGCAGCTGGCACCTGACCCCAGGACTGCCTCACTGGTCAGTCCTCTTTCTCCTGTGGCAGCAGCCTCATAGTCAGTTCGTCTTTCTGCCTCACCGCAGGGCCGGTGTTCTCATCGCTCTGCAGTTTGGGCGGCGTGCACATTTCACTTGGGTATCCTAGTGCTTAGGAGCTGTTCCTGTGTAATTGAACATCTTTCCCATCCTCCCCCTATTGTGTCCTTGAAACCAAATCCATTTAAATTCAGTAAAAGATGATTTTATATTTGCTAACTTGATGGCGATTACTTTTGAGTGTGCAGTGCAGTTCTTGGCATGTTTCTCGCTGATTTCAAAGTCACCCACTATGCAGTTATAACATACATGTTATATTGGGAACAATTTGGTTCCATATGCATAACTGTATTTCTTCATAGCAGCTCACAAATTCTCTTCTTCCCTCTTATCATTCTCTGCACAGCAACTGCAAGGAAACGATTTAATTATTTAAAACAGTAGCTGCATACTTAAAAAGTCAGGGAGAAACTAAATAAAGAAATACTTTTAAGACACAAATCTACTAGTAGAGTGTGGGATTATTTCTACCACATGCTAAAACTGTATTAAAAATTCAATCCATTGGATGTTTGCTCTCCCAGGAATAAAAAGACTGGTATGACTTTAATTCCCCCTCCCCCCACTGATTTGACCAGCTGTTTAGTAGACTATCACTACATTAACATTAGAAGCTTTATATGCGTAATTTCAGGAGAGGAAAATGCCCCTAACATCTCAACTGACAAAACTAAACTGTATCCTGAGAAATTATTAGAAAGCAAAGTTCAACAACTATATGTCAGTCAAAGAATTTAAAATTTATGTCAGGCTTATTTAGGAACTCACATTGTGATGTATACAGCACTTTGCAAACATGAGCAAATTTGCCTTTATAGTAAGAGGAAGCAAACAACGGGAAGATACGCAGGATGTGTGAAAGGCCTTCACTAAGGTACATGTGCCATTGGTTGGACCAGTAAGAGTTTTCTATGTGTCCAGGAACATGAGATACTGTTAGAAGTTTTAGATTTTATTAATGAACCCATACTCTTGCAATTAAATTTATGTGCCTGACTTCATCTACCACCACACAAACACTTTGCTACATGCAGTTAATTTTAAGCTATACACTAAAAACACATTACAACTTTACAATCAGTATTTTAAATGGATGGCTGACATACAGCCTTTGACAATATTTAGCACTTTATAGCAATACATTAACGCTAACTTTAGAAACTATAGCATAATGAAATTTCACAGCCAATTAAGTTGATGAGTCACTGTCAGCTTTCTAAGTTCCTCATTTAGATGAAAGAGGCAAATGGATATAGAAAGTGAGGCACAAACTAGTTCCTATAAAACTTTAAGTATCATCACGAGATCGCAATGTTAAGGAAGAGAAAAATACATTGTCTAAACAGCCTGAAAAAAACTCAAATAATTTCTCTTTAAATTTAGAAATAATATAGTGGTCAGTCTTTTAATTTGTCACCAGGTGCTCACATTGATTTAGAAAAAAGACTTACTATGTCCATCGACTCATGTGACAATAGTCACTAACAGCCTTCTGACCTTTTTGTCCCCCTTGTTTTCTTAGAGTTCTTATAAGAAATATTTGTCCCAAAGTTGTACCAGCTTGCTATTTTTGTTCAAACAAAGAAGATCAAGAGATTGTTCCTTACTGAATTTTCCTCAAATGATATCAAAGAATTATTGGTGAACGTCATAACTCTAAGTCATTTCTGCTCTAAAGAGGTTAGAAGGGACTTACAGAATTTTTTCCCCCCCAAACAGAATTTGGATCTGAGCAAAACCTTTTGTGTCCCACCAACTTTTAAAGTTTGTTGGGGACTTCCCAGGCCGGTTTGGCTCAGTGAATAGAATGGAGGCCCACAGACTGAAGGGTCCTGGGTTCGAATCAGCTCAAGGGAAATCACCTTGGTTGCAGGCTCCAACCCTGGCCCCGGTCTTGGTTGCGTGTGGGAGGGTTGGGTGCATGCGGGAGGCAGCCAATTCATGTATCTCTCTCAGATCGATGTTTGGATGTTTGTCTCTCCCCAGCTCTCACTAAAATAAATAAATAAATAATCAATGAGAAAACCTCCCCCAGTGAGGATTAACAAGAACAACAACAAAAAGTTTGTTGGGGATGAAAGTCCAAGTTTGCTCTGACATACTATAAAAGCAATTTCATGAGCAGAGGGCTAAATCTAATTGTTTAATACGTGAATTATGTCCAATGCTATTTTAAATGGATTTTTAATCAAAAATATATATTCAAATTTTTACTGATCTATATGATTCTTGGTTCTGAAACTCCTGCATGTCCTATGAGTGATACACAGCAATAGCCCCAGGACAGAGAAAACACCCCTCCCTCCACTCCACTCTGCGTGGCCCCACCCCCTACCTTTCTCTGTTCCATCACTAGCGCCTGGCTGAGGTTTGGGGGTTCAGTGCTTGCCAGACCCTGGTAGGAGTAGGAGGCAAAGGAGAGGTTCTCCTGCCCCCTACATTTTCAAGGTCGCTTCATGGATAGCAGTCTCACTACGAGATATTTACTTCCCCAATTTCTTCCCCATTTCCACCAATGCCACCCCTTGCCTGGGGCCTGTCACCAGCTCCCCCCTCCAGCCCCCCCACTTCCCATGCCTGCCTGACCAGAACCACCTTACCTCTTCCACAACGGCGGTCAGCCCTGGACTTCACCCGCGGATAGCCTTCTTCGCAGTGATGGTGTACCACTATAAGTAGTTATTTGAGTCTTATCTCAGTAAATGTCCTGGCCATTTGCTTTTTGTTCATCAGCACCCATGCTGGTCTGCTCAGGACTGTCCAGGTTTTGGTTCTATATCCTGAGAAGCTCTTACAGTCCTGGACTAACCAGGGTGATTGGTTATCAGATAAGATCTTTAAAGAAATAATTGAATTATTTTGGCTTCTGTGACCATTCTTCAGTATGCATTTACAAATTGTCTATTTTGTAGTCAAAACTGCAAAACCAGAATGTCCCCTGATGACATTCTGGACATGAGCAGTGCTGGCCTAGAACCCAGGAGACACAGTGCCACACAGAGGTCGGGAGAGGGCAGTGTCCCCACACCTGCATGGATCGTAGCTTAGATCTTGAAGCTAAGGCAGGTTGAAGGAGACGATACACCTTTTGGCATCTTGAAGATGTTCTCTGTTAGGTCTGCCCCCTCTCTTTGTGCTCCCCAAACTGCACAACCCCCAGTACAAAGTTTTAGGGAGATACTAATGTAAATTCTCTACAATGATAGCCTGGTTTTAAATTGACTGAGTTTGACATGGAAGCAGACTACCTAAAGATAAAGTAAGCGACTGGAAATGTGGGCTAGATGTTAGGTGGTAAGAAAGTCCTAGAAAACTAATTTCCAGAAAGCTAGATTTAAAGATGAGTTAAATTGACTTGGACCATGTAACTAACATTTTACATTACTATTTAAATTTCTAGACCATAAAAATAATAATAAGTAAAGGTTTTGAGAATGAGTGGATTCTGAGGTTGAAAGGGGGGAAAGAGGACTCAACCTTGAGGAATGGAAAGTTGAGGCATAAAAAAAATATCCACAAAGGCATGTGGAAAAAGGAGGATCAGAATTCAGCATCATGACAGACTTACAGGAGTTTACTAAGAGCACCGACCAATAGTGTTTATAGAATCGGTGGAGCAAGGGATTGAGACCGGAGGAAAATGTTCAATGATTGTATGAATAAAAATCAATGAAATGACCACTACCTTTGTGTAGAAGAAAGCCACTAGTTCTATTAGAGTGTAAAAAAACATTTTATCAGTGTATAAAACAACCATTTCAATCCAACTCTCTAAATTCAGAGGCTAGATGAGTCAGTGTGAAGAAAAGAAGTATTTGTTGCATTTCAAGACTATTTATTACAGGTTACTAACTGGCATCTATGGGAAGGCTTAAAGTGCTTGCTTTGGGTCTCTCTAAGTGTTGCAGGATGCGTAAAGTTAGGGAGGGGGTGTGAAAGTGAGAGGAGTTCCCTTTGTGATCCTCAGTAAACCCTCAGTGTTCTTTCTATAATCCTTTTCTCATGTGCCCAATGTTCTTGTCACCTCTATTTTTGGGGGGTTGAGAGAATTTTGGACTTCGAGTCTGAGACCTGGGAATGGTTCCCATATCTGCTCTCTGTGTCCATAGTAAATTTCACCCTCATGTGTCTCAGTTTCCTCGTCTTCAGAATGAGAATGTTGGACGGTAACTCATAATGCGTCATTTAATTTTAACATTGAATTTATCTTCCGTTTTTAATTCTATCCTTTAAATGATATCTATCACATTAAGTGATAATCCCCAATGTCAATTCTCAGCCTACTTATGCCTAAACATAGGAGCAATTATTCTGAATGATATTCATTTTGAGAGCTCTACATCTTTTTAATAGAAAATGAAACTAGACAATTTATGGGGATCTCATGTACAGTGTAGCAACTATAGTTAATACAGTATTGTATACTGGAAGTTTACTAAGAGGTTCGATCTTAACAGTTCTTGCCACAAGAAAAGAAAAGGCAACTATTGAGGTGATAAATATGTTAATTAACTTTACTGTGGTAATTATTTCACATGATATACATATATCTAAGCATTTGTGTACCTTACGCTTACACAATCTTATATGTCAATTATATCTCAATAAAGTTTTTTTGAAAAAAAATGAGATCAAGAAGAAGATAAATTGAATGATTCTCCTAAAGATAAACAGGAAACATTGTTATTTAATATTTATGAACAGGGCTCCCTAGTAGAACTTATTCAAAACAAGAACAGACCTGGTTGGAGAGAGACCTGACTTTGGGGCACTAATTAAATGATGCTGCTGGAGCTGGGATAGATGAAAGGAACAAGTCTGTACATTTTACTTAAAGATTAAGTCACTACCAAAATGACCTATAATTCCTAGAATATACAATAGGATATGACTCAATAAAGTGGAAATAAAAGATAATGAAACTATAGGTCTTTTATTTACTTTCTATGTTTTTGTTGCTAATGAACAGAAACTATTTTGTTCTTTCCAAATAAAAAATTCAATATCCAGTTTCAAAACTTTACTCAGTATAATCGGAAATAAGATCAAATAGTTTTGTCTCATGGAATGTGCCTCAAATGATGGAAACCTTGGCCCTAATGCCTTATTTCCCTGAAATCTAACAGTGCCAATTGATGGTTTTCCTTTTTATTGTGCAGGGCTGGAACGAATTGCGCGGGATTCGTCTTACGAACAGGAAGGAAAGGTGCAGTTTGTAATCGATGCAGTGTATTCCATGGCTTATGCCCTGCACAACATGCACAAAGATCTCTGCCCTGGATACATTGGCCTTTGCCCACGAATGAGTACCGTTGATGGGAAAGAGCTACTTGGTTATATTCGGGCTGTAAATTTTAACGGTAAGTTACAACTTTTTGGGGCGTCTCTATTTTAAAAGAAACCGGGTGTGTTTTTCTCTTTATATTTAGAAAATACTCAAGCAGAATGGAAAGCAAAGGTATAGAAGTTCCCCATTTAATCAAGTCTGAAATTTCCCACCTGCTTTTAAATCCCAAACAGGTTTTTTTTTTTTTGGAGGTGTTACCATTAATCTGGTCCTGGAAGAAGCAGAAGTTAAAAATAAGCCTCTATCAATAAAAATATTCTACTTAAACATCGCTATTTCAGAACTAACATAAGAGGTTCATTTGGAATCATTAACAACAAGTTAGATGTTTTGAAAATGCTTTGTTTATGTCGTTATTAGAGAAGGCATTGTGGACATTTTATTTGGAAACTGATTTTAAGCTTTTAAACAGCATGTTGACTTGAGGAAAGTGAGTGATGTGGAGTTGCTGTATATTTACATTTTAAGAGTTCTGTGTTAAGCTTCTGCATCTCCTTTTTCCTTGTATTTCTTTCAATGATTTGGCCAATTTGAAGCAATGAGCCGCATCATGTAAAATAGAAGGCAGTATAGATGGGATTTGCCTCCTGCAAAAAATGCTGCTTCTGCGAGTGTCATAAGAACCTGATTCAGAATAGGCTGGATCCACAGTGTTTGGCTGAGAATAGTCAAACAGCCTGTCTGAAGTGATGGAATTATGGAATGCTGTTCTCTTATGAAAGCTGTAACGGTTGCTGCCCATGACTTTGACAATTATTTTCAAATGAAATGATAGAATGCTCCGAGCTGTCTAATTCTTTGTGTTTGGCTGCAATCCACACAGTGGACATGCCTCTGAGCAACGCACAGTGCTGCGCTGTCCATCATAATACACTCCAGTGACCTCAGCTGCCAGCCTTTCTCAAAACAGTGCAAGGTCATCCGCAATTTAGAATTCAAGTGGAAACTTCTTCTTTTGCTTTGTTCACGCAACATGAGACAAAATTTGGTTTACGTTCAATGCAGAGTATTCTCCTTTTCAGCAGACTTTTTCCTGAAGCCTTACATAACATTGTTTCGGTCCTAAGGGGAATTTGAAAATAATTTTCTTGCAATTATCAAGTTGAGCAAAAGAGGAGTGTTACAATATAAGGTTATTTATCCTAACGTGAGATTGGGGAACATTTCATTTATCCAAATTGTTAGAAAGTAGGGAGAAGAATGCAAATGATTATATTTTCTCAAGAACTGAAGCTCACCTGTAGAAAATAAGGAAATCTTTCAAAGAAACACTGGATTAAAGCATTTTAAAGATGAATTACCAATTTCTTTTTTATCTTAACTGTAGATAAAAAACCAACCTTTCCTTGATGGCTTCATTATATCACACTCTAATATAATGATGCTATTAAAGACTATTAAACATGCCTTAATGTCTAACCGTTATTAAGGCAATTTGCCTCTAGACTCCAATGATTTCTGAGTTCTTCTGTCCACTTTTTATAGTTTTTGCCCTTCTACATGATCAAACTGATGTTGCTGTGAATTTTTTTAGAGCTGATCTCTTCCATAATTTGCTTCTTTCAATCCATTATGGACAGAGAAGCACACATAAAATTTCATTGATTTAGTCAAGAGATATTTATTGAACACATAGAATGAGTTAAGATTTGTGATGGGTCCTAAAAATACATTACTGGTATAAGCAGTCAAAGCAGACATAAGATTTAGAGTTTCTCAGGGAACTGAGATATAAGGTATCTATACTAATAAAAGGGCAACATGCAAATTGACCATACCTCCACTATGCCCACCAGCCAATCAGGGTAAGTGTGCAAAATAACCCAACAAAGATAGCAGTGGCCACAGAGCTGGAGCAAGCAGGAGGCTTGGGTTGCCCCCGCGACAGAGGAAGCCAAGCTTCCCGCCTGCCCTGGCCTCCACTCAAGGAGGGGCTGGGGGATTGGGTCTCCAGGGGGTGTGGCCAGCCTGAAAATGGCCCTCAGCCCCTCACCCAGGCTGGCCAGGCACCCCAGTGGGACCTCCCACCCTAAGGGGGGTGTGGCCAGCCTGCAAACAGCCATCAGCCCCTCCCCCAGGCTGGCCACGCCCCCCCAGCAGGGACCCGCACCCCATGGGGGTGTGGCTGGCCTGCAAACCACCACTGGCCACTCACCCAGGCCTCCCCATGCCCCAAGGGAACCCCTCACCCTGATCCGGGACACCCTTCAGGGCAAACCAGCCAGCCCCCACCTGTGCACTAGGTCTCTATACTAATAAAAGGGTAATATGCTAATTAGACTGGGAGACCTTCCAGGAGACCTTCCAGACGTTCTCTGGACAAAGCCATGGTGGTGGGCCGAGGTAGAGCCGTTAGGGGCCAAGAGGGGAGGGAAGTTGTGGGTGATCAGGCCGTGGGGGGGGGGCGTTGTGGGTGATCAGGCCGGTGGTGAGGGCAGTTGGGGGGA